TTTTTCCTCTTTTCTCTCTTCATTGTTAATTTAAATTTTAGAACAATACTTACAATTTTTTTCAGAACAAGGTCTTCTCGATAAACCATCAGCATTTTTATGTAATAAACCTTTTCTATAATAAATTTCAAAATCATATTGTTGCAACCTTTCCATCCAACACACTAATTGACCCTCTAAATCTTTAAAAGACATTATCCATTTAAGAGATGCATGATCCGTTCGAATTAAAAACCTTCGACCATATAAATAATGGTGAAAAGACTTAATCGATTCTACTATGGCCAACAACTCTCGACGAGTAGTACAATAATTTCTTTCAGACTTATTCAAAACTCGACTAAAATAAGCTTTTCTTGACCTTCTTGAATCTATGACAAAACTGCACCGATACCAAAATTCGATGCATCTGTATCAAGAATAAATTTCCCATCTTCCATCGGAAAAGACAATATTGTAGAAGTAATTAAAGATTGTTTCAATTTTTCAAAAGCTTCTTGACATTGAGAAGACCAAAAAAATTTTGATTGATTTTCAGTAGGAATAAATAAAGGTTTTGCAATCAATGAAAAATCCTTAACAAATTTTCGATAATAGGAACAAAATCCAAGAAAACTACGAAGCTGTTTTTTAGATTGTGGAATTGGCCAATCTGAAACAACAGGAATCTTTTCTGGATCCTTCGAAATTCCCTTATTGGAAACAACATAATTTAAATATTTAACGGAATTTGCAAGAACACATTTCTTAGGATTTAATTTCAAATGAACAGATCTTAATTGTTGAAAAACAGCTCTTAAACATTCAATCATGCTCTCAAAAGGTTTTCCATAAATTATAACATCATCCAAATAAACTAAACAAAATTTATATAAAAATATTTGTAAAACTTGTTCCATAAGTATCTGATGCATTACACAGTCCAAAAGGCAAAACTGTAAACTGCCATAAACCTTTCTCAATTGAAAAAGCTGTTTTTCCTTTATCCTCAGAATGCAACTAAACTTGCCATTTTTGAGATCTACAGTTGAAAACCACGAATTTCCCGACAACTGATCAATTGTATCATCAACACGCGGAATAGAAAATGAATCTTTAATTGTTACCAAATTTAATTTTCTAAAGTCTACACAAAAACGAATCGAGCCATCTTTCTTTTTTACTAATACTGTAGGAGAAACCCAAAGACTCTGAGACTTTTCAATAACACCTTTTTCTTTCATTTCCTTGATAACTTTATCCACATCTTCTCGTAAATGAATTGGAACCCGACGAGGAACTTGTTTGATTAGCCGTGGATCATTTAATTTAATCTCATGTTCCAGAACATTACAATTCCCAGCTATTATTTCTTCAGAGAATATCCTGAAATTCAACCAAAATTTTAGCAAAAGACTTTTTTTGGAAGGAATTCAAATTTTTTGAATTCCGTTCAAATAATTCCAATAAAAATGAAAGAACAACGTTTTCATTTTCAATTCGAACACATATAAAATCATTCTTATCATTATCAGACTGAGATAAACCTAAAACTGAATGAAGACAGAATTCTAAGTTTGTAAATGATAAGAAATCATTTCCCAAAAGACAATCTTCTTCCATATCAACAATAAAATTTCCCTAAATTTTCCTAAATTTACTTTCATATTTGTTTGATATTGAACTGAAATCATTTCTCTAGTAGGATAAATTAAACGACTTGTCTCAATTGAAAAAACTTCCTTTGAAGTTTTAACAAATTTACTACTTACGATGGAAACATCTGAGCCAGTATCAATTTTAAAATTATAATATTAATTATCAAGCATTCTTTTAAAACTAAAAGCATTTTTATAAACACGACCTAATCTAAAACAAATCAGGGATTCTTTCCTTGTTGCCGAATCGTCCCCGTCCCATTCGGCAAAACCTAATTTTTTTTATTCTCTAATCCTAATGCCGGGCATTCTGCTCGAAAATGCCTATGTTCTGCTCCTAATTTTCCACACTGCCAATACTCTTTTTGTAAATTTTCCAAATTCTGCTTATAATTTAAATTCGGCTTAAAATTTTGTTTCCTAATAACTTCCGACCTTTCAAAATTTTTATTAATAAATTTCTTTTGATTTAACGGAAATTGTTTAAAATTACTATTAAAATTTCCAAAATTTCTAACAAAACTTTTTTCCTTTATATTTTCAAGACTCTTTTCTTGAATTACCTTTACAACTTTAGCTCTTTCAATTGCCATAACCAAAGAAGTTATCCCTTCCAATTGTAAAGTCTTCTTCACAAAATTATCCGAAATCGCTGATACAAATTGCGCACAGGAAATTTTATCACAAACCGAAAAAGGACATTCAGGATAAGCTAAACGCACTAACTTCTCAAGTTCCATTCCAAAAGAAGCATAATCTTCTCCAAATTTCTGTTTCCGATTTGTAAAAAGAACATAAAAATTTTGTGATGACTCCTCCCCAAAACGTAATTCCAATTTCGATTTCAACCCCGCGAAACTAAAATTTTTTAAATTTTCAATTGACTCTAAAACTGAATACGCCCTTCCTCTTAAACTCGATGCGAGCGCTATAGTTTTAGACGCTTTATTCCACTGATTTGCGCGTGCAATTAAATCAAATTGAGATAAATACTCTCGCAAAGAAATTGTACCATTGAAAGTATCCAATAATTTAAACCCCAATTCTACTTGAGAATCGACTTTCCCCGTAATATTAGAATCTACAACTATAACATTCGGCCCCTCTTTCTGATTAAAATCATTATTGGTGGGCTTAGTTGAGCATTGCATCGTCGCTGAGATTCCTCGTCGCAACGTCGGAGCGTCTCAGCAAATTCCTCACGTATTCGCGACTGTTCTTCTTGCATCTCTCTAAACTCGTGCATCAAAATCCGCAAGCCTTGCTCAACCGTCCCCGAAGAAGACCCCAACATCTCATGTGTCTCTTCCAACTTCGCAGAGTATAACGCTCCTTCCTCTAGAGCCGACGCCAATGTTGCTGCTTGACTCCGAGTCCTCACTGGAGAATGCACTAACGCCATTTCTTCTCAATTCACTATTTCTTTAACTCGTGAACAACACACACGTCCGGAACAAACGTATCCTGGACAAGCCCCCAAAATGTCGCGTTCGCCCGCGTTCACGCAATAAATGAGATTCTTGTTTATAGAAAGATTAACAAAAGCTTTTACAGCTTATTACAACGTTTACACAAGCAGCCAAACAGAATCTTTCGTGTCGCGGATAACACCGATACATCCGTCACACCCGAGAACTCGTATCGAAATCCCTTATCCTCGTTTGACACCGAAACCATGGCAACTCATTACTCTCCTATCCAGCTGACAAGCTCTAGATCGATAATCGATTTCAAACGTCCCAAGCACGGGCGTAACAATATTATAATGCAATGTTGCTGCAATATTACGTAGCAATATTTCTCAGGCGGACATTTACCGTTGCTGCAACACTGCCGCAATCTTGCAGCAACATTTCATAATGTTACAATCTTGCATTGCAGGAAACATTGTTGCAATGTTGCTGCAATATTGATGTGCTATATTGGATACTATATAAAAAAAAGTATATAGAGTGCCATTTAAAAAATTCAAGGTGATTTCTTGATTTCTCTAAAAAAAAAAAAATTTTTATCTTTTGTTATTGTAAGTTCTAGCACAAAGCCATTGAAAATTCACCTTATATCTTTTTCTTAAACTGTCGCGTATCAAAAAAATCGTATAAACCGTTACGTTAAATATCTTGTGTGCAGGGTGGTCTACATAAACTGTGAAGTTTGACAACTCAAAATATTTATCATATCAAAAAATTATTCATAAGAAAGTTTCATGTATTCGAGGGGTCTTTCTAACTTTGTAAACAAAAATTCGCTCCCGCTCAGTGATGGGCTTTTGCAAGATTTTTCTCGTACATGGGTGCTGAGCAAACGCTCAAAATCTTCACTGAAGTATACACTTTCATTAAATATGAGGTATCGTTAGGACCCTGCGAGAAAGGAAAAGTGAGTAAATTAGCAGAAGAGAAGAAAAATTTTATTTGGAATTTTTCTTTAAAAAATGCTTCTATTAAAAGTTATAAATATTTAAACTTTAGAGTAGAGTACATTCAAACATATTCTTAATAATAAATAAGCATTGGCAGAAGAATATGCTATCTCTCTCTTGTATAATAACATCTTTTGAGAGATCGACTCTTTCTTTCTTTCTCTCTCGACTTACATCTTAGAGAATTCATAAACATTGTGTTGCGAGATTACTGTCGAAGCCTCGATGGCCGAATGGAAAGGCATCTCGCCCGGAAAGTGGGGAGGTTCCAGGTTCGAGTCCTGGTGGAGGCAGTTTTTTCGCAGCATATATAATGAATTTATTTGAGTCTTCGGTTTAATGGGGGTTTTGGGAATATAAATATATATATATATATATATATATATATATATATATATATATATATATATAAATTGGGACTCAAGGATCGGTCTAAGTATGGAATGTTGATTCGCCGCATACGATAATCGAAGAAATTTTCGATACGTGCATTTAACATGCTGGACATATTATCCTCCCACTATCATATTAATATTAAAAAATAATATTAGTATCTAATAGCACTAAGACATCCGTGCTTGCTCCTTAAATGCCATTTTCAAATCTTTCTATTAACTTATTGATTCTTTCTACAAAATTTTGTGTATATCTAAACAATGTTTCTAGAATCACTGCAAGTTTCACATATTCTTCGTTTAAAATTTTTTTTCATCGTAGGTATTGAAACATATGGCTTTTTTCATATATCCTCATAAAAAGTCCAAGGATGTAAGATCAGGTAAACGAGAGGACCATTACAGAACTTCCTCTATTTATCCATCTGTTACCAAAAATTTCGCTTAAAAGAGTACACGTAGCTCTGGAAAAATGAAGATATACACTATGTTGTTGAAAAACCACATTTCTCTTCTCACATTAAGTATTAAATTTTCCAGGAAAAGATGACTGCTTAAAGCTAGTTACCGCGGCCATATTGGTTGATGACGTCAGAAGCGAGAAATTGCACATTTAATTTACGTCCGAATCATTACTAAATAAAAAGATATGTTAACAAAATAACACTTGCAATCGATTTTACACACTCGTAAAATGCTCCGGACAGTATTCTTTTCCTGAAATAACCTTTACAACACTGCAAAATATACGTGTGGAAATCGGCTTATTTTAACAGGAGATCAGCTGTGAGACTCAGTGCGGAATACGATAAAATAAGTACTATTATACTTAAAATATTCCAAAAAACACAGTATCCGGACAATTTTCACACTTCCGCAATTGTATTATGTGTGATATGTAAGCACTACAGTCAGTAATAACGCCATGATTCGGACGGAGAAATTTAGATGGCTGTTACACACATATATATGCATAATTCGCTTTATACATACGATAAACGAAGTTCTTATTCCTACCACAGATGCCTGACCACAGACGGTGTCGCCACCATCGTTTAAACGCGGACTTCTCGCCTGATTAGCCAGGAGCCTTAAGGGGGGAAATCACTATAGAGGGTCAAAAATCGAATTGTTTTTGCTTTAATTAATAGTACTATAGAATATATTCCCAAAGTTTGGTTTTGAAATTGAAAATCTAAATGGTCGTACAGAACCATTTCTCACACGCAGGTACGAGCGCATGAGACGAGGTCTGAGCGCAGTGACTCGCAACGGCTTTGTTTCGGAAAAACGGAAAAAAACTATTCTAAGAAAGATCTATTAGAAAAGTGCTTAGGTGGGCACACAAAATATGCAAATAAAAATTTTAATAGTACGATTTAGTAGTTAGCTCCAAAACATGTACATTCTGGGCTTAAAATCACCAAAATCACCGCCTATATTGCTGCTGGGATAAAGACTACTTTGTTGTTTTGAAGATAATAGAAATATTAGAAAATTTGGGCCTCTATGTAAGTATGCTGATAGTAAGGACGCCGAGCGAATAAAAAGATAGAAGCGTCGTAGCGTCTAAGTTGCAGTAAGCGTCTAAGTTGCAGTAAAGAGGTTCGAATAGCAAATAAACAACACCAACTTGAGCAAAATGACTTGTTTGAAGAAGCGGAAGGTTTACTGTATGGGGCAAGAATAGCGGATTAGCAGAAAACAGCTGTAAGTTTACAATTTTCTATACCTGAAATTTTAAACGCATTTTTCTCGAAACGACTTCTTCCAAGCTGGTGTGCAAGATAATTAAAAAACTATTTAACCAATTGAGTTGCCCTTTTACATACATTTATTTTATTATATTTGCTAGTCGATGAACCTATAAAATCCATAACATTATTTATTTAAACAATTTTTTCACATACATAAAGATGGATTTTTATGAGTAAAAATCAAACTTTTGATTCAAGAATTGCTTTTTTGTCAATTAAAAAATTTCATTTTAACTCGTTTAGGTCGACAAATTATGTCCATAAAGAATAAAAAATTTTTCCCTATTTTGGTTTCAGACGAATACAACAGGAGCCAAAGTTTTACGCCGACTCTGCCGCGACGCTCAACATTTCTATCACTATATATAATTTATAAGCATTTTTCTTAACTTAAACATATTTTTTTAATACTTTAATGTACAAGCAAAAACACTATAAAGTTGGGAAGCGATTGGATACATTCTTCAAAAAAAATTCACGAAAATTCTCTTATTTTTGACGTTCTATAGTGATTTCCCTCCTTAATAGATCATTTGGATTTTTTAGGTTGTTATGTGGGTCACCTTATATGTATTTATATAATATAAAATATAGGTAAATTAAATTTTATTGTTTCCTACAGATAAAATATTAACCTTGACAATACTTAGCCCCAGGCTTGACTTTTACAATAATGAATAATTAATTTTCCATCTGTACCATAACAGTCGTATAAATTTTTGACTGTTTGATCAGGAGTAGGTGCAAATGTCTGATTCACATATAGAAACTGAAAGATAAATCATCATCATATATCATCATCATAAATATATCATCGTTATTATTTTATTGTATTATTAAAAGATATTGAAAAAGAATATTTCGACTTACCAATCTCTCATTAGGATCCAACTTAAGATATTTTTTTATAAATTCAGAGATCCGCCCAATAGGGTTGTCTTGGCAGACTGACCATTTCTTTTGCTTCATAATTGGTGCATTAGCAGTAGCTTTTAAAAGTATATCAACTATAAAGTATAAACATACATATATACATATATATATATATATATATATATATATATATATATATATATATATATATACATACATACATACAGGGTGAGGAAAAAGTATGGAAACCCTGAAAAATCTAAAAAAATATGTTTCACAGAAAAATGTTTCAAATAAAAGTTATACAATTTTAAAAGGTCTATTCAATAGTCTCATCAGTTTGACCCTGGCTGGCGTCGTTAAGGTGAAGTCAAAGTCACCTTGAATTTTTTTAATGGAACACCCCATATATTATTACATATTCTTATAGCTTATCTCGAGAGCTTTTCAAAACACTATAATAAAATATTTTTTTGTGAAAAACTTTTCAAGTAATAACACTTGAAATTTCCAGCACTTTGACATAGAAAACAAAATATCTCGTAAAATATTCATCTTTCGATTATCTTGCCTTAATGCTTTTTTGCACAGAATAATGAGACAAATTGGTTTAAAACAAAAAAATTTTTACATAATAAATATAAAAAAATTTTTTGTGCTTTTTTTAAGCCAATTAATTTGTCTCGTTATTCTGTGCAAAAAATCATTAACCTTTAGACTGCCGGGAAAGCCACTTTTGTGGCTCTTGAGTTTGGGTTAAAATATCACTATTTTCAGTGGTATTTTAAATACTAAATGTATTTGTGTGGGTATGTAGCTCACGCAATGCGTGACTACGTTGTTCTCCGGTGCCCACTTCGCGCTTATTCGCTTTCGCGTCGCCGAAATAGCAACCTTCTCGCGCCGCGGTGCGGCGGCTTCTGTTATCTTCGCCGCGCGCGTAATATTAGGTGAAGTAAAAAGTTCTGAGCGTTCAGAACGATGAATTTTTTTTTTGAAAATTTTATCTTTACATCGCATCGGGTCATACTATACGGCGATTTAAAGGTGACATTACGCTTCAAAAAAAGTTCTGTGACAGTTTTGTGTTTGGTCAAGCCAGTTGTGTGTTACAGCGTTCCAAAATGGAGGTAAAAAAAGAGAAAATTCGATACATTCTTCAGTACCACTACGACCAAGGTGAAAAGGCGGAGCAGGCGGCCAAAAAAATTTGTGCTGTTTATGGACCCAATACAGTATCGAATGCAACAGCAAAGCGGTGGTTCCAACGATTCCGTTCTGGTAATATGGACGTCGAAGATGAGGCACGCTCTGGTAGGCCAATCGTCGAAAATGTCGATAAAATCATGGAAATCGTCGAGTCGGACCGGCATGTGAGCACTTATTCCATTGCCCAGGAACTGAAGATTAGCCAGAAAACCGTTTGGAACCATTTGCATAAGGCTGGTCTCAAGAAGAAGCTCGATGTATGGGTGCCACACGAATTGACGCAAAAGAACCTTTTGGACCGAATTGATGCCTGCGATTCTTTGCTGAAACGTAACGAAATCGACCCATTTTTGAAGCGGATGGTGACTGGTGATGAAAAATGGGTCACATACGAGAACAACAGCCGAAAAAGATCGTGGTCCAATCGCGGTGAGCCGGCCCAAACGATCGCCAAGCCCGGATTAACGGCCAAGAAGGTTTTGCTGTGTGTTTGGTGGGATTGGAAAGGAATCATCCACTATGAGCTGCTCCCATCGGGCCAAACACTCAATTCGGACCTCTACTGTCAACAACTGACCAGATTGAAGCAGGCGATCGACCAGAAGCGGCCAGAATTGGCCAATAGGAAGAGTGTTGTGTTCCATCAAGACAACGCCAGGCCGCACACATCATTAACGACGCGCCAGAAGCTCCGAGAGCTTGGATGGGAGGTTCTATTGCACCCGCCGTATAGTCCAGACTTGGCACCAAGCGATTATTACCTTTTCAAGCATTTGCAAAATTTTCTTGATGGTACAAAACTGGCCTCAAGAGAGGCTTGTGAAAATGAGCTGGTCAAGTTTTTTACCAATAGGGACGAGGACTTCTTCAATCGCGGAATTATGAAATTGCCTTCAAAATGGACAAAAGTTATCGAACAAAACGGCGCATATTTGATCGAAATCGGATAATCCTAACTATGTTAATTTCATCGTCGAAATAAAGCGAAAAAACGCTCAGAACTTTTTACTTCACCTAATACTATCACTCGCTCCTCCGGCATAGCATCACTCCCTCATGTTTCGCTCCAAATAGATATTTTGCGAAATCCATACGAAAAATTATTGTATAAAATGAACGTCGAGTTTGACGTTTGGTCTAGTGACGAATCAGAGCCTAGTGAGATAAATCCAGATGATCTTCCAAGTGATCTAAATAATATGGAAGTGAATGAAGAAACCGATTACTTGTCAAATGCGAAAATATTTGATGATAATAATTTCTATCTCTCTGTGAAAGATTTTGACGGTGAATCTAGTATTCGTGAAGATATTCCTCTCACAGGTTTCAAGTCATTACATTACTTTGAACTTTTTTTTGACCTTTCTATGTTGGAAATAATTACACAAGAAACAAATCGTTATCAATCACAGAATCCTGAGCCTTATCGTTTGCATATGTAGCCGTGGGTAGATTTGACTGTAGAGGAACTAAAAACGTTCATTGGTCTTACTATTCTTATGGGTCACTTTAAAAAGGGTTCTATTCAAGATTATTGGAGTACTGATTCTATCCTATTGACTCCAATTTTTAGACAAACAATGTCTAGAAATAGGTATTTACAAATCTTGAGATACCTACATTTTCAAAATAATGAAGATACCATAAACCATCCACTAAAAAAAATCAAACCTGTAACCGCGCTGCGTCACGTTTCGGATTGCTCGTCGGTTCGGGTTCGTGATAAGCGGAATAATTGAGAAACAGTGTTTTCAAGAATAATAATGTATAATATATTTAAATACTAGGCTGACGATAATTACAATATAGCTATCGAACAATACGTGTCGACGCCGTTGGTTTTGGTTGTTTGTGTCATCTGACAGAGGCTTGTTTAGACGCCGGTTTGCGAGATGTGACGCGCGGTACGCGGGACGCGGACGACATCAGTGTCGCGTATTCGCGGGTTTATTCTGTTGACGTTTCTTTCGGCGTCTTGTTTCTTAAGCGCGGTTGACACTTTCTTACAGCGATTTTAGCTGCGCTTCTGACTCGTACAATGTCCACGATCGTTGCGAGTGTAGCTGCACGCGGGGTATTGCCTTAGCGGCGATCCCTTCGATCTCCTATCGCGGAGATTTGATTCGTTTCGGGGTATGCGATGCGTCCATCGGTCCTCGCACACGGGACCTTAGCTTTCGGAGTTTCCTTTATGATTGAACGAGCTCGGCTCATTCGGACACGATTTCGGCTGCAGTCCACGGTGCCGCGGACCTTATCAGTGTCGGCCTCACGAATCCGTGAGCCGACGGCGGAGTGATTACAGTCGCCAATCGACGAACAGTAATCTGCCAGGAGCGGAGTAGACGCGAGTGTCGATGACACGTATCCGTGTAACGACGGCGGAGTGATTACAGTCGCCAATCGACGAACCGTAATCTGCCAGGAACGGAGTAGAAGCGAATGTCGATGACACGTATCCGTGTCACGACGGCGGAGTGATTACAGTCGCCAATCGACGAACAGTAATCTGCCAGGAGCGGAGTAGAAGCGGTCTCTCTTAGAGCGGATAATCGGAATCGGCTTCTCCTTCGGGAGCGGTAGATCGGTTCTGATTCTCTTTTGAGAGCGGACGATCGAATTCTCTCCGCGATTACGATTACGCGGCGTTTTATCCTTTTTCTAATCTCGCTTGATTCGCTATTTACCGCGGTTGTTCGGCGGTCGCGCTGTTTACCATTTTAGAGGACACGCTGTCCTCTTGCGCTTTTGATTCGCGATGTTCTGCGTTCCTTTGTTTTCGTAACGTAACGACATGTATCGTTACAAACCTATTATAGATAATCTGAATGAAAAATTTTCTAATACGATAAATGCAGGAAGAAACTTATGTATTGATGAAAGTCTGCTTTTATGGAAAGGAAAGCTAAAGTTCAAGCAATTCATACCTTTGAAACGAAATAGATTCGGTATAAAGCTTTTTGAACTAGTCGATTGTAAAACTGGATTTATATTAGCTTTTATTGTCTATACTGGAAGAGATACTGACTATGAAAAATTTGAATTAGGAATTTCTGGGGATATAGTTGTTCATTTCGTAAAACCATATTTCTCCAAGGGTCATGTTATTTTTATCGATAATTGGTATTCATCCCCCCAGCTTGCAGAATTTTTACACGAGCATGATACTGGAGTTTGTGGGACCGTAAGAAAAAATAGAAAAGGAATGCCAGATCTAAATAGTAAGCTGAACCGAGGAGAAATAGAGATTGGCCATAATCTTGTCTGGATGGCTATGAAATGGGAAGATAAAAGAGATGTCTATATGCTAACGAGTGTTCATGAAGTTGGTTTTTCTCTTATTGGAAAGAAAAATTATATTACTAATAAAGAAATAATAAAACCAACTTGTATTATCGAGTACAATAAAAATATGGGTATTGATAACATCGATAGGCAATTATCCTTAACTGAAAGTATTAGAAAGACAATGAAGTGGTTTCCCTGCTTTTCGACTTGAAATAGTGAGAGCTTTACTAAAATTTGATCCTAATCTTTCATCATCTGTTCAGCCAGGTCCTTCTCGACTAATAGGAAAACATTTTCCAAAACATTTCGAAGATAAATCGATGAAACAATGTGCTTTGTGTGCATTATCTAAAAAAAGATGTCGAACTCGTTTCACATGCACTAATTGTAATACTCCATTATGCATAATACCCTGCTTTGAAAATTATCATTCAAAAGAAATTTTGCCATAATTAGTGCAAAAAGTTGAAATAAAAAGAAATAAAAATCATAAAATGTATAAAAAAATAAATAAAATATAAATATAAATATAAATTAAAATATACAAAAAATTAAAAAATATAAAAAAGTAAAAAATTATAAAACAAGCAAAAAAATAACAAAAAAATACAAAAAATTAAATAAAAAACCAAATAAA